AGGCATGGGCGATGATGATTTCTGGTCCAAACATAGAGAAGAAATGTGTGATATGGGCCGAGAGCTTAGCTTCCTTGGACTACCTTGTGTCTCGTGTCTCGTCTCCCGTGTTCGTTCGTGTTCGTTTGGAAATCGAATTTGATTCCGTTTCTTGCCTAATCAATTTTCTCCTCCATATCAAAATCGACCAAGGACTCGACCTGCACACCACATACGAATAAAGACCGAAAAACGACGAAAAATATAGAAAATACTCAAGCTAAAGGAAAACACATAAAACACTACGAAACGAGATAAAAAACGACTAAGAGACCTAATATGAGGGGAAAAGAAAAGAAAAATAATAACAAAAAACGTAACAAAAATAGGACAAACACATAGTCAAGCGAATGATCAACCGGTTCTGAGTGAGCCGCCATTCCAGTTGAGTCGAACCAGTCCAAACAGACCGGACGGTTCGAAGAATTTCAGTTCATCCAAACCATTCTGGACGGTTCAGAAGTTTCAGTTCAGAACATCGGTTTGAGCGTAAATCGAGATTTCAGTCTTTTTCCGAACCAGTCAGATAAGGTCCTGTAAATATAGTCCAGACTAAGAATTATTTCGAAGAACTCTAGTATGCCTCAAAGACACTAAATTTCTAAATCAGCTTGTAAATTCCTAAAATGAGTTTTAAATGATTTTAAAAGCCAGTGAGCGAACCGAGTCAGATCAGATTATAATATTTAAGTTTTCCAGTTTAAGCTTAGTACTTAGAATATATTTTGTGCTTATATATTTTGTAGGTTATGGTGAGTCGAGACTCAAACAGTTGCAATTCATTCAGCACTTTCAGCATATCAGGTGGGGACCCTGTTATGAGTACTACATTTTCTATAATCGTAATATCCTGGCTAAGGTATGCATGTAAGAGTTAATTTACCCGAATAGGGGCAATCACCTTGCGAGTATGTCCTTTCTAGCTAAGTGAACTGAACGCTATTTAAGATTAGATTAAAACTCTAGTGCAACTTTGAGTTAAAGTTGAAAATTCAG